TATGTATGTATGTATGTATGTATGTATGTATGTATGTATGTATGTATGTATACATTCTGATTACTCTGGAAGCTCTAACACACCGTTTCCATTAGTGCAAGGAATTTTACCTCGCCTCCCAACAATACCACAAATGATACCCAAAAGAAAAAAGAACATGATTCCTCAGGGTACCTATAAGGATCGTTGATAATGCCTCTGTAGATCCACTTCTCCAATATCTCAAAGTATGGAACACTGGCAGCTTTGGTTAAATAGAGGCACAGCTCCTGGGCTTGGCTGTCCCCTGTGTAATTGAATGTTTTGTCATGGAGCAGGCTGAGGGTTGAACCTCCCATGGACTCGCCCTTGTCTATCGAAGTAGCTGAAAAAAAAAAAAGATGCAATTTTAAAAACTTCACTGTGAAAAAAATGCAGTTATTATCTGTTGAACCCATCAGTTACCATGAAAGATCTTTCTTCTGCTGAAAGAATCTGCTTGCTATTTCTTGCATAAAGTCCACTTGAACAAATATTCAACTGCAACACTGCTAATCTACTAAACATAATAATTTCAAGAAGACTCACTGAGCTTAGTTGGCTGCATGCTGAAAAACATTGAATACAGCTCTCAAATGCCTCAATGTAATCTTAAACATCTTTGAATGTGAGTGGGAATAATTTTACTAGCAGAATAAATGACAGTCAAACTGATACCATCAAAGTACAGGTATAGCTTGTCCTTGATTTATGACTAATTGCCTAATGATTGTTTAATGTTATGGCAGATTTTCCCCGGCAAACTACTTATTACCTGTTTCTGCAGTTATGATGGCCACATACTCCCATGGCTCAATTATGGTTGTTAAGTCAAGGATTACCTATAAAAGTGGTTGTTGAGATATAAGTGATCTGCTCAAATTGAGCAGGTTCCATGGTGTAACTGAATTCTTTAAATATGTGTTCATAAGTTTTAAAAGCCTTTCTTTTTAGCTCAATAGTTTTCAGGGTGATTTAAATTACAATAACTAAAATTATAATAAGAATGATAGCCTCAAGCCAGTTTATATCAGAGTACAAATGCACAATCTCATTAAACCAGCAGTTTTAACCCCCTGGCTGGAGTCAAAGCATGATTTCTTCCAGTTCTGAAGTTTCAGAGGCCTCTAGCAGACCTAAAATAAATATATAGGATGGCCCTGTATTTGAAGAACAGGTATTAGTGTAACAGGAATGTAGTTACTAAAAATAGTAATTGAATTGGGATTTTGCTTTAGATAATTGAAGAAGAGAAATGCAGGCAGAAAAAATTCCACTTGATTCACTAAAAAAACTGGCCACCCTACTTATATAGATAAATGTTGAAAGATGGTCTAGCAGAAAACATTTCTTACCAACCCAGTAAATCAAAGACAGAAGAATTCCTCACCAAGAGAAGCCAAGATTTCCATTGTCCTCATTGTGGGCTGAATATAAAACCAAAGCTTCTGCAGTGAGAGGAGTCCTTGGCGCTGGAGATGTTCCAGTTGGGTTATCAGGATCATGTACTCTTTAACGAGGGTCCTCATTGCTGCTGCCAATGCATGATTTACTTGTCCATATTCAAAGGAAGATTTCTCTTCTACAAACCTGCAATAATCCAAGCCTTTTGTCAATATGTATGTATGTATGTATGTATGTATGTATGTACCGTGTTTCTCCAACAATACGGCCTCCACCAATAGGAAAGCCCAGCATGATTTCTGGGCATGAGGTGAAATTAAGCCCCACCCCCAAAATTTAGGCCTATTTAATCCATGGGTTTCCCTGCCATTTGTCACATTGTTCGTTAGAACTATAAGAGGTGAAGAAAAATGGGGGGGAAGGGCGGGGTGGGGAGAAAACTTGCCTTTAGGAGTGCCCTGCAGGTAGCCTAGGCTAGAATACCTTGATCTACCGATACAACATCAGCCAACAGAAGCTCCCCAAAGACAGAGTCCCCAACTGCTTCAGGGCGAGGCATGGCTGCCCGTGTCCCCTCGCCATTAGGCAGTGTCTTTCGGGTGATGGAAGTTCCCCAAGGGCAGTCACCAGCCACTTCAATCGGCCGGTAGAAGCGGCCTCGGGGCAAGCGCACATACACACTCCCCTCGCCGCGAGGCCGCTTCTATTGACCGACAAAAGCTCCCCGAAGGCAGAGTCCCCAGCCGCTTCGGGACGTGGCGTGCCTATGCATCAGGTTCCCAACTGCAAACTCAATGCAGCTGCAAACTCAATGCAACTGCAAACTCAATGCAATGTACATATGCTGTTGTCAGAATAAATATCAGACCCCAAGATTCCTGCTGCATTTCTGCTTCCTGAGCCAGCCGCTCTTCTTCATCCCCTCAGATAGCCCTATTCTACCCCCGCCTCGATTTCCCACTGCAACCATTTGGATCGCAGGAGGGTCGCTTTTGTCTTCTCCTGTCCCACTCTTTTAAACTTCTCTCTGCAGCCTTGGAATTCCTTTCCTGGGGACTCCATCTCAGCTCCAACCCTGCTTAGTTTCCATCCTAGACAAGCCCTCTCCCAGGTGTGCTCTGGGAATCCAGGGACTGGTTCTGCCCCCCCCCTCCATCTCTGACTTGAGCAGAGCAGGCACTTGGGGGGGGGGGGCAGGGAGGCGGCAGAGTGCGGCAGGGCGGCAGGGGCTCCTGGTTTTTTTTGCCTGAGCTGGGTGAAGATCATCCTGGTGGGCTCAAAGGGTGGTCTTTCAGATTGCTTTAATGATTAACAGGACACTTCCCTGAACCCCCAACTCCCTCCAGTGGGGAGGACGGCGTCTTGCTGGGCCCAGGAGAGATGATGGCTGCATTGCAGGGAAGAAACACCCCCCCTCCAAAAAAAGCCTCTTGGGGAAACGTAAATGAATAAACTCAAAGGGTCTTGGGACAACCCCCCCCCCAGGTAAATTGCACCAACAAAAGAGAGGTGGCGGAAGAGCAGGGACCTTCAGGTTCAGAAACTCAGTTAAGCACACTTCTTCTTCCCTCCCTGCCCTCATTTCACATTGCCTTTGATCACAAAGCAGATTTTTAATGATAAACAACCCTTTTGTAACTTACCAACTGCATGCCGGGTGGGGGGGGGATAGGGCTATCTGAGGGGACGAAGAAGAGCAGCTGGCTCAGGAAGCAGCGGGAATCTTGGGGTCGTGTGATATTTATTCTGACAATAGCATATGCACGTTGCTTGAGTTTGCAGTTGCACTGAGTTTGCAGTTGGGAACCTGATGCATAGGCACGCCTCGCCCCGAAGCGGCTGGGGACTCTGCCTTCAAGGGAGGTTTCGTCGGCCGATAGAAGCGACCTCGCAGTGAGGGGAGTGTGGGCAGCCATGCCTCACCCCAAAGCAGCTGGGGACTCTGCCTTCAGGGAGCTTTCGTCAGCCGAAACGCCCTCGCGGCGAGGGGAGTGTGTGTGTGCGCTCGCCCTGAGGCTGCTTCTACAGGCATGATATTCCGCTCTGAAAAAAAAATCGGGGCCGGCCAAGAGACCCCCCGCCGCGCGCCCGGGGAGCGCCCGCTGCTTTCCCTCGCCAGGGCCGGGCGGTGGCGTGTTGCACAGAGGCTGGTCTGTGGCTGGCCCAGCTCCCTTTTCCTGCCGCTCAGCGGCCTCCGCTCGCACCGCCCGGGCTCCGCTCAGGTATCCAGCTGGGGCTGTCAGGAGTTGCTACCGCCGGCGCAGCTCCACGCGGCTCCAGTCCCGCGTTGGCCCGGGAAGGGAAAGGCAAAACCAGGAGCCGCTGCTGCCGTTGCAAAGTGCCGCCGCGGCTCTTCCTTTTTGCCTTTCCCTTCCTGAGGCAACGCGGGACTGGAGCCGCGCCAGCAACTCCTGACTCAGGGCCTCCGAGGGGAGAGGAAGGAGGAGAAGAAGGGGGGGAAAGGGGGGGGATTCCCCAAAAAATCGGAATTCCGATTTTAATCGGAAGAATATGCCTGTTCTACTGGCTGATCGAAGTGGCTGGTGATTGCCCTTGGGGAGCTTCCATTGCCCGAAAGACACTGACTAATGGCGAGGGGACATGGGCAGCCATGCCTCGCCCTGGAGCGGCTGGGGACTCTGCCTTCGGGGAGCTTTCGTCGGCCGATAGAAACGGCCTCGTGGAGAGGTACATACGTATGGGCCACTCTAGGTGGGGGTGGAAATTAAGTCACCCCTGAAAAGACGGCCTAGCCGTTTTTTCGGGGGTCAAAAAAAAAAAGGCCTGGCCTTATTTTGTGAGAAACATGGGTATGTATGTACGTATGTATATGTGTGTGCATGTATGTATGTATATATATGTGTGTGTGTAAGAACAAACAGTAGGCTGGTTTATTAGCTGAGCCTGGCTTTCTAGAGTTGTTGCAAGAAGCATATAAGAAATGGACACTTACATCAGTCTCCCCTGGTGACATTTTAAGAAAATTGCTAGTACCTGGATATTATGGAGTAACTTGCAGCAACAGGGAGGATTCTAGTGACCAATTCCTTAACAGACATATCTAGATTGGGATCCACTAGAAAAGTGCGAGTCTCTCTACCAACAAGGGGTTGTGCTGTGATGTATCTGCCATCCACACCTATCAAAACATACAGCAGGTCTTCTACAACTGCAGACTCTTGGGCTGCCAATGGTAATGTACCTGATGAGGAAATCAAAGATACATGTTACTTTGGAGAAGGGAAAAACAAACAAATAATTTTCAGGCTTCTGGAGGATCAAGTTTTTATATTAAAGGCATCCAATTAAGATTCAAAATAATCTTCCCTAAATTGCTGAAAAGAATAATGTACACAAATTAATTAACATCTCTAACTTTACATCCCAGTTCCTTTGATGTACGCTAGCAGGAACTGGATGTTACTAACATACAGACTGAATGTTTAAGTGCTAATGAAAGGTTCCAGCCAAACAATAGATTGGTATTGAGCTTCATGATTAGAGTGGTCTCTTACAATCCACCATTTTTACTCACCTATTGGCACAGTTGTATCTGTACTTAAACTAGAGCCAGAGAGAAAGTCTCCAATAAGAGCTGGTCTCTCATACACCCAGGAAGGGAATGACGGGATAGGCTGGCCAGAATTTTTCTTGTTCTGCTTTTCTCGGAGTGCCTTTCGTATAAGTTCAAGAGGCTGCCAAAGAAAAATGAGACATGAGCATTCTGTGAGTTAAATGTCTACCAAACTAATACAAGCAACCTTTTTGCCACACAAAGAGATGAGACAAATTGGTTCTTTGTCACAGCAGTATGAAATATTTTAGTATTTGATTTACTGCATGGCCAAGAGTGATGATATCCATCTTTACTTGAGCAGACAAAACATTTCTTAGCCTCCACCCCACTCAACCAGTTAATTTCATCCAGTCTGTATTAACTTCACATTCCACAATCAGCTCAAAAGTTGTATATATAACATTGATTAGTCTACTCTAAGCATCCACAGCCACAGTATGGGGTCATCAGAAAATGATTGAAGTGCCAGGCTAGTTTATATGGGAAGAATCATTCCTCAAGCCATTCAAGTCTGGCATGTAGCTATTCAGGGCTTTAAAAATCAACATCAAGATACTGAACTGGGTTAGTGGCCAGGAAGTTAAGAGAGTACTAGATAAGTAACTTGTAAGAAACATTTCAGGGTTATTTTGAGTAGCTAAAATTGCCAAGGGATAGCCTACGCGTAACATTTTGCAGTATCCATCCAATAATTTACTAGCATATAATTTCCCTGTGATTCCTTATAATTTCTGATAAAATATAATATGGAATAACCCCAACTTTTGTTTCTTGATGGGAAATAAGTTCTTCATTCACAATTTATTTATTCATTATGTTTCTATTATAAAGATAGGTTTTAACAATTATTTTATTTACAATCTCTCACATCACCCTTCAACGTCAAAACAATTCCACTAGATGTTTTTGGCAATAACCAGTTGACTTTCAAATAACATTCCACAACTTTCTTAGAAAGAAGCATCTATTAGCAAAAGTGAAAAAATTTAAACCTGGGAAGAAACTTATGAGTTTTTATTTTTCTCTCCAAAATAATTATCTTATTTTAAAAAAGAGGAAAAAAGCTTTCCCTCTCCAATGGTTTCAGTCTTTCTAAAGGTTTTCTAGTTAAGAGGTAAATCACAACTGCTTACTAGAAAAATAGATTTCACTGCCTACACCTCAGTAAATGTGGAACCATAAAGAATATGCACGGCCCTTTGGATTACATGGTTTACATACAGTAAATAAACAAAGGAAGAACTTCAGAAACCTGCTGTGAGCTGGAGCCAGTTGTCACAGTGCCCAATTGTTTCCGTAACTCCTCCAGTTCTTGAACAGTCATTTTGGAAGTTGTTGAGGGGACAGAGAAAGTGAGGCTGCTGCTACCACTGTTACTGGCTGCTGCACTTGCTGCAAGTTCTGCCCTTTCCTTTGCATTCTGTTGTAAGTATTGTAAAGTCTGAAAATGGCCCAAAAAACAGAATATAGAAATAATGAAGGCTTCAAGTTATTCACATGCACATGTATGATTTCCTGATTATTTGCTGAACTTACTATACCTCTGGCTACCAACATATCTAGGCATCTACTTGCATTTCTGACAATTCCCTGAAACCTATTATGGAATTTCGGTATGTATGGCAACAATAGTTTGTTCTCTTATCCAGATGTTCTTGATTCTAGCTTATGGCGAGTGCTGATTAATAACTTCACTCAACTTCTGAGGCATCCTTGAATCAGATGTCTACTTTTTTTGTAGAATGGCATTTATTCCCTTTGTGCAGAAGACCCCTATATCATTTAAATGGATTTCAGTGATAGGGAAGCAGATTTTGGTTGGACATCAGAAAAATGGTAAGAACTTTTCAACAATGGGACAAACTATCTTGAGAGATGGTAGATTCTCCTTCTCTAGAGATGTGTAAATAAAGACTTGTTCACTGTCACTCAGCTATGCTATATGATTGGATAGCTGACTGGGGTCTCACTAGATCAGAAGTCTCCATTCTCTTCAGCTCACTGACTCTCTCATGAAGTTTCAGATTCTTCATGCACACCCCAAACATTTATTATATGAAAATAATGGAATAAATACCACTTTAACTAATAGCACTACCATACAAATAATAGTAACCACCACAAGGGATAGTTCTATTGAGGGTTGATACTAACCACTTTGGGGAACCCTGGACTTAGAGAGATAATTTCCAATATCTCTTTCATCCCCTGCATTTTGTGATCATCTCCAATTGAAAAGACCTCCGTATTACATTTAGAAATTATTCTGTACACGGATTTGGAAAATTAATGTTACTTAACCCAGACTTTTATTTTGCTTTGCTGTATTCCTCAACTCAATCCTGTTAGTTTGAGAATGCAAGAGATTTCCTTATTTCCTTACTTTGTACTCCTTTCTGGATCCCACTGCACAACCATGATTGGTCTTGACTCCTTTAATGCTTGGTCTCCTATTCTTACCAACACAACTAGCAAAAAATTAAAATTGTTTTTATGTGGGCTTTCCAAAGTAAACCTACCTCTTTGTCTTCTGTAAGCTTGGACAGCAAACACACAAGTGAGTCAAGATGTCTTGTGTTCTTCGATTTCAGTTCATCATATTTGTTTAAGAAATCTTCTGGAGTCCGTGAAAACTCTGCAATTTTAACCTAGGAAATACATGTTTTTATTTACTTTTAAAATTTTAATTAATTTATAGTATATAGTCGCCCAATTTGAGCAATCTGACTTTGGATAGTGTACAAAAGCAACCAAATAAAGAAAAACAATCAATAACATTAGTATTGTTCTATGAGTATCAGTATTGTTCTAATAGTATCACAAGAGGAAAAAAACTACTCAAATATATATCTGTAAACTTCCAAGTGCTTTTCGACTTAACAAAGCCTGTTTCCTCTGGCATGAACTATGATCCTGTGGTGGCAGAAAAAAAGCTGCCATAGATTTTCCCTCTCTGACTGTATTATATATTCATACCCACCAGACTATTCCTCTCTGGGGTAAACAACATTATGCCCCCCCCCCCACACACAAAAGAATGAGATAGCCAAAAAAGTTAAAGACATGACATAAGATAAAGAAACCAACATCACTTACCACATCTACCCATGTTTCTTCTATCTTGGTGAAAACTTCCTTGCTATCATCTCTGTAAATTATTTTGATTCCTATCCTGAGCAGGGGATTGAACTTGAGGGTTGAATAACTCCACATGGCTTTATGAATTTGGATTTACCTAGCTCACTCTGCGATAAAATGTGGTCAGGAAGGCCAGCAAATATGAACACAAATTTCATATTTTGAAGACTAGCAGCTCTTTTAAGGCCAGTTATGAACAAATAAACCTGATAAACCTAGAGGGTAGCTGCTAGATTGCCAGCAGACTCCATCTCTCCTCCCTTTTTCTCTCTGTTCTCCACCCATCCATCTTTTTGGTTATCATATTACTGTATCTATATTCTTTTGTAATTATTTTATTCTATTATTTTAACTTGTGTTTACTCTTTTTTCTTCCTTTTTATGATTGTGAGTAGCCCCGTGGCGAGATAGGTGGCAAATAACTTTAACAAATAACAACTAAATAATAAACCTGCAAAAAATATAAATATATATAAACATTTCCATTGAGCTCCAAAATCCTGGAAGCAGGGTGGGAGAGGAACCTCTTACGAGCCATTGGGACCCAGAAGGACTTTGTGGCTGTCTTCATTTCATCAGATCTTATGCAGGGGCCAGTCCGACCTTTTTAAAACTGATTGCAAAACCAGTTGGTCCCTTAAATATTACTATTGTGGAGGAATAGCGGGGTGGATCTTCGCAGCCATCGGTGGTTTATTTACTTCAAAATATCTCATTCCTTCCCTCCTATACAAAAATAGGTTGACTCAGCCTTCCATCCTTCCAAGATGGGTAAAACGAGGACCCAGATTGTTGGGGGCGATATGCTGACTCTGTAAACCGCTTAGAGGGGGCTGTGAAGCATTGGAAAGCGGTATACAAGTCTAAATGCTATTGCTAAAAAAAGAAGAAAAAAGACATTTTGCTACCAAATTAGATATTCCCGGGCCGGAAAGGACTCCGCTGGTCCCCATCTTCCACCCCCGCACCCATTTCCAACCCCCTCCCGCCCTCGGTCTCTCCCGGCCGATCCACCTTGGCTCCGAGGGCTGAGGCGGTGGTGGTGAGATAAGGGGCGCGGTTCTTCTGGAGCAGGTCGATGTAGACCTCCGCCCCTTCGCCGCTGCCCCGCACTCGCAGCAGGCTGAGAAGCTCGTTCACGTCGTGATGAATCCGAAACTCGCTCATAATGACGAGAAAGCAGACTTCAGGGCTTCAGCGGGGCAGCCCCAACAACCCTGCAAGGCAGGGCCATGCCGTTAGGAGCAAGGCGCCCAAAGCTCCACCTGTTCTAGCCCGTCCTCTCCCGTCTCCCAGCAACCATCCTCCGCACGACCCGGAAGCGGAAGCGCGGGTGTGCTGGTTTCAAGGGAGAAAAGCAGCGGCGGGAAAAGATGGCCGGCGGTGGTGAGAGCGGTCCTTTCCGTTTCCGCCCCGCCGTGATCCGCTACCCGGCGGACCATCCTTTCTTCGAGGTAGGGAGCCTCTTTGCCCTGCCTGCCGAGCTGGGGGTTGGCTTGCCTGGGAAGCGGGCCGGCGCATTTCTTCCCTGCGCCTGAAGCGATGGCTGTAAATCAGGGGTCCCCAAACTTGGCCACTTTAAGACTTGTGGACTTCAACTCCCAGAATTCCCGAGCTAATATGACTGGAGGAGGAATTCTGGGAGTTGAAGTCCACAAGTCTTAAAGTTTCCAAGCTTGGACACCCCTGCTGTAAATCCTGTTCTCTTCCTCTCCAGGACGGCGACGTCCACCGGCATATGTACCTCCAAGGTCTCCTGGAGAACGTCACAACGGACACGGAAAGGCCCAGGTGAAGATTGGGAGAGGGGTCTGCAGAAGTGCCTCCTTTCCTGTGAGTGCACAGGTGACATGGGGAGTGGAGGAGTCTGGGCCTTTGTGGCCCCCCCTCCCCGCGAATAAAGACCTCTCTGTTTCCAAAGGCAGGGTATTTAAAATCTTTTTAAAGAAGAGACTGGGCAACCATTTGTCTGCAATGTTGTAAGGCAGGGGTGTCCGACCTTGGGAACATTGGGATTTGTGAGCATCAATTTCCAGAATTCCCATGCCAGCACAGTTGTCATAAATTTTGGAATTTCAGATTACAGATTAATAGAATTGAAAGGGACCTTGTAGGTCATCTAGTCCAACCCACCCACCCTGCCCAAGCAGGAGACCCTACACCAAGGGTCTTCAAACTTGGCAAGTTTAAGACTTGTGGACTTCAACTCCCAGAATTCCTGAGCTAACATGACTGGAGGAGGGATTCTGGGAGTTGAAATCCACAAGTCTTAAAGCTGTCAAATTTGAAGACCCCTGGCCTACACCATTTCTGACAAATGGCAGTCCAATCTCTTCTTGAAAGTCTCAAGGAATGAAGCTCCTGCAACTTCTGTTCTGTTGGTTGATTGCTCTCATTGTCAGAACAAGGTTTCAAGGTTGGATACTCCTGATGTAGGGTCCCCTGCTTGAGTAGGGGGTTGGAATAGAAGACCTCCAAAGGTCTCTTCCAACTTTGTGGATTGTCCCAAAGATGCTTTTTTCAAGAGGCAACTGGATTTTCTTGCTTTTCTTTGAAGATGTTTCACTTCTCATCCAAGAAGCTTCTTCAGCTCAGAACCGCTTGAAAAAGCACCTTTGGGACAACCATTTACTTGGATGACTGAGAATCTTTTTAGACAACTTTGTGATTCTTTTATCTCCCTCTCTCCCTCCCTCCCCTCCTCCCTCCCTGTTGCTCCTGCATTATAAAATCTTCAGCAGAAACAAGCTTGACCATAAGGGAGAGTTACATTAAATGCCTCAAACCACCTCACCTTTTACTGTATAGCCATGATGATGGGGATGATTCTACTGTATTTGTATTGTTCCTTTAGTAACAAGTCTCCCAAAGCAACTTTCAACCACTGTAAAGACTAAATAAAATTGCACTAAATAAATAAGCACAACCTTTCTAAAATGTCGCAATTTGGTACAGATTTGTTTTCTATGTTTCCTTTCAGAACCTCTGAATTTTCTTGCCAAATTGGTGGATGCAGCCAGGTTTTCAATACCTTGGAGAGCTATGAGCATCATTACAACATGCTGCACAGGAATGTGTGTTCTTCTTGCAAGCGATCCTTCCCTTCAACACATTTGTTAGATGTTCACATTTTGGAGTGGCATGATTCCCTCTTCCAGATAATGGCAGAGAAGCAGAATATGGTAAATGTCCATGAGACCTATAGATTGCCTGCTATTCAGTAGGTTCAGTGCAAACATAAGTCTAGTTATATTAACAATTGCAATATTTTTGTAATCAAGAATATTACCATCATAATCACCATTGTTTGGTTATAAAAAAATCAACATAAGCAGTGCTTACTTGTAGTTCATTTTTCTCTTGGACATTGAAAACAGTAAAATGCTTTCTGCTTAGTTCACTTCATGGGTTCATCAATTATTGTTAGCTCTGTCAGCTGCTGACACTAAGACCATCCTAAAAGTTGTTACTTGAGTTGGGAAGATTGAACTTATGTTCAATAGCATAGCATAGCATAGCATAGCATAGCATAGCATAGCATAGAATTCTTTATTGGCCAAGTGTGGTTGGACACACAAGAATTTGTCTTGGTGCAAATACTCTCAGTGTACATAAAAGAAAAGATACATTCATCAAGAGTCAAGAATCATAAAGTACAACACTTAATGATAGTCATAGGGTACAATAAGCAATCAAATCATACTAGGAAACAGTCAATATAGATCGTAGGGATACAAGCGACAAAGTTACAGTCATACAGTCACGTGGGAGGGGATGGGTGATAAGGAGTGATGAGAAGATTAATAGTAAGAGTAGTGCAGACTTTGTAAATAGTTGAACAGTGTTGAAGGAATTATTTGTTTACCAGAGTGATGGCATTCAGGAAAAAACCTGTTCTTGTGTCTAGTTGTTCTGGTGTGCAGTGCTCTATAGCAGGGGTCTCCAACCTTGGCAACTTTAAAACTTGTGGACTTCAACTCCCCAGAGTTCCTCAGCTACCTTCGCCAGCTTCAACTCTGGGAGTTAAAGTCCATAAGTCTTAAAGTTGCCAAGGTTGGAGACCCTTGCTCTATAGCGTCGTTTTGAGAGTAGGATTTGAAACTGTTTATGTCCAGGATGTGAGGGGTCTGTAAATATTTTCACAGCCCTCTTTTTGACTCGTGCGGTGTACAGGTCCTCAACTGAAGGCAGGTTGGTAGTAATTGTTTTTTTCTGAAGTCCTAATCACTCTCTGAAGTCTATGTCTTGTTGGGTTGCAGAACCAAACCAGACAGTTATAGAGGTGCAGATGACAGACTCAATAATCCCTCTGTAGAGGAATTATTTGTAACAGTGGACTTGTAACTTCAAAAGTAGAACACACAATACTGATCAATCTTCTTATTGGTTTTTCTGCCTCTTTGCAGTACCAGTGTTTGGTAGAGAGCTGTCCAGAGAAATTCAAGAGCAGCAAAAATCGCAAGGATCACTTAATCACAGTTCATCAGTATCCATCTGATTTTCGTTTTAATAAATCCCTGAAAGCACAAAGGTAAACATGTAAATGTTTACACGGAATGTACATTAGAGATGTTCCTCATTGCTCATTAGAAATGTTGTGATCTATGAATTCTAGAAAATCTAAAATTTAGAAGACCAGTTCCTAGTTATGATTACTGTTGGTATGATCATTCTGTATTTTTCTTGGAAGGAAAAAAAATCTGTATTGACTTGATTAGTTAAATTAGTCTAAGAGAGAGTGACTGACCCACAGTGAGATGAATGGCATATAAATGTAATAAAAATAAATAAATGAGGAATGAATACAAATATTCGTGTCCCAGGATAATGTTGTAGAATCCAGTCTGGGTCAGTCACTGGGACCAGAGGTTTAGTTTCCCAAGCTTTCGGATTTGTGCTGGAGCCCATTGTCAGGGAACTTCTTTCTCACCAGAATGTGAGAGAGAATAAAATAAATGAGTTTCGTGGAAGAATACAGATCCGAACTTAGCTTTCCCTGCTCAAAGACCGAGCTGAATCACTACCAATAATGTTTTCTCTATGACTGCTTAAAAGGAAAAAAAGAGCATCCCTGAGGACTGGCATAGATGTTAAAGCCTTTCTACAACGTTCTTGCCATCTATTTTTCAGTATTTTGACTGAGCTAAATTTCTGCAATAGGAAAGAGAAAATGAGGCCTTCATCAAAAGAAAGCAATGTGCCAATGGATACGAATATGGAAGACTCAGAACAATCACATGCTGAGGTCATGGAAATGGATCCAGATGAGCGTATAATGGAAAGTGACTTTCAGTCTGAGACAGAGTGTACTGTGGACCCCCCAGCATTTGGAAAACGGCTCTATAGATCAAGGTTGGTGGCTTTGCTTTTTTCAGATGGCAACAAGCTGAAAACAGGATGCGCGGAGGCCGAAAACGAGGGGGGCACGGAGGCAGCGATAGATGGCAGCAGCAATCCCTGCAGCCTGGAACAACTGATTGTCGGTATTCCGGGAGGCTGATCCAACCGCCAATCAGCTGTTCGTGTTAAATCAGGCTGTGCTGAAGCTGACCAGGCTGTTTGCTGCTTGCTGCAAGGAGGCAAATTGCTGGGAGGCAGAGGCCGAGGGGTGGGGGCAGGCGAGTGGGCAGGGCTTTGGCAACATTGGCTCTATAAGACGCACAGACATTTTCCACCCACTTTGGGGGGGGGAGTGCGTCTTATAGTCCGAAAAATATGGTAATTATGCTCAGATCAGAGATAGTTAAAGGAAAAGAATGAATTCTGTCTTTAAGCTAATTGCTGACCATACCGGGTGTGTGTGAGGGAATCTGGCAAGACTCGTGCAGGATCTGAAGCATTTTTTTCCCCCTTTAGGTCTGCATACTGCAAAACTACTATTGTCTTTGAACTATAGAGGACTATAGAATTGTTTAGAAATACAATAAACTTTAGGATAGGGGTCTCCAATCCCTGGGCCATGACCCACTGCCGGGTCTTTAACCTTTTGGAACAGGACTGTGGAAATGGTGGGCACATACACGGGCAGCAGGTGACCAGGCTGGGACGGGCTTCATTTGTGCAAATGGCAGCTTTGTGTGCCCACCACTTGCACAAATGGAGCCGTGTATCTGTGGGACCATCCCTTCTCTCCCTGTCCCCTGCTGCTCCGCAAAGCTGAAAAAGTTGGGGAACTCTGCTTTAGGAGGACTTGTTAGCCTGTATTTAGTTCTTTATTATATTACTATAATATAACTAAGCCAGGTTGTGCTCTTTTTGCATTTTTGTCTTTCAGAATCCCGCCGACTATTTGTTTTGGGCAAGGGGCTACCCGTGTGTTCAAAGGCCAGAAAAAGAAAAGCTGAATATGACAACCAGGAGGAATTTCATCTGCAGAAAAGGGCCTTAAAACTAGAGCAAAGTTCCGGCTTCATTTACTAGGAAGTCAGGGAAACAAACAGAGGCAAAGCTAGTTAAATATTGGAACTGATTCCTGCCCTTCCCAATGGAGGTATTTTAGTAGGAGCTGCAAAATGCTGCTTCTGACCTGGTTGTTGTAGTCCAACTCCATTTAAAGTTTCAGAAATAAAGGTAAAGGGGGATGGTGCTCAGCTTCGTTTCCTAGTTGAGGGAGCCAGCATTGTCCAAAGATGCTTCCATGGTCATGCTTCACCATGGTGCATGGAACTTTGTTACCTTCCCACCAAAGTGGTAACCTATCTACTCGCATATGCATGCTTTCGAACAGCTATGTTGGCAGAAACCAGGGGAAGAATAACCACTAGGCCGCTATCTCTCCTATATGTCAAAAATAGCCCAGGTCTGTTTCTAGAACATTTCAAATTATAGGATGTGGAACTGTTACAATAATAAAACAGCATCTCTGCTTTGGTACAACTATCCTGATCTTTACACCAACCTTGTAAAGTAGGCTGTCGTGTTACTAAATATCAGACAATATCAGACAATTCAAGAGATACAGATGTGTTGGGAGTTGTTGGGTTCAGATATAATTCTGTTGTGCCTGAATGGGTATAAGCTTACTTGAAATGCTTCTAAGAAGTTAATTTGCATTGTTTTTGAGAATTACTTCTGACTATGTTGCTGCAAGGTTGTCTTTTTGTTTATTCTTTATTTTATTTATTTATGTATATTCTGCCTTTTTATGTTTACAAATAATTGAAGATGGCAAACATATCCCTTGTATTGAATGTTCTTCCTTGGAACATGTATTTGGCTCCAATTCTGATTGGCTCATGGAAGCAGCTGAAAATGGAGTTCTTCCAGAGGGCATCTGAGATGTGAAATTTTGTATTTTTCATTGTAAGTTTTTGTAATTTTGATTTGTATTGCTACTTACTTACTTTACTTGCCTTGAGCTGCAAGAGTTGGCTGATGACTGTGACTTACTTCATTTTGAAAAACAGAGTTGGCATATCAGCAGGACGGTATTGGTAAGGATGAATGAGGGTTCTGTGGTTTATGCTTACTACAAAAAGAAAGAAAACTTAAGGGAAAAGATTGAAATAACAAAGAAAAAACCAGTCAACAAAGAATTTAAAAACCCTATAAAAATTATTTCTTCCTTGTAGCCTGGTCTCATTGTCTTTACTGCCCCATGCCTATGTACATGGGTTATAATATTTATTACAAAAAGGTCACAATTCAGAGTAAATGTTTTCCTTGGCTCTTTTGCCCCAGTTTGAATCCTATCAGAAATTAAGGATTTTTTTTTTATCACATTCTGCAACACTGAACTGCACATGCCAATTTATCAGAATGAGATGAGATTTTTAGCTCTTTGTAACCATTTGGTTTTGCCACCTTGAACTCTGGTCCCCTGTCAAACTGGTCCCCATCTGAAACTCTAAAATTAGGAGCAAGTTTCATTGCCAGTTGTACTAATGATTGCAGAGGGTCTGTTATTTAAATCTTTTGTGTTAGAACAGGGGTATCAAACTTGTGGGCCAGATGCATCACATGCTGGCCATGCCCACCCCCATTTTAGCGAAGGGGGGGAAAAGTCACATGATAACAACCTGCCTATGCAAGCTTAACACCACTGTGTTAGGAGAACTGCTCACTCTATTTTTTTCTTTTTGATAATTTAGTATTGACTAGTCCAGGGGTCTGCAACCTGTGGCTCTGGAGCCACATGTGGCTCTTTTGGCCCTCTGTTGCGGCTCCCTGTTGGCTGATCCCACCACTGGCTGGCCCCTCCCCTTCCCTCCTTGCCTGGCCCGAGAAGGTAAGAGTGATGGTGGGGAATGGAGACTCACTCATATTCCAGAGCAGGAGGTGACTGAGTGGAAGTGAGTGACATCGAGTTGGCCATGCCCACCCAGTCCCATCGGTTGTTAAATTATTGGCTCCCAGTGTTTTCTGTGGGAAATGGGTCTGAGTGTTTAAGGTTGCAGACCTCTGGACTAGTCAGAAGCAGGAAGTTCCTTTATCTCTTGACCACTAAATTTACTCAAGCCTGGGATTCAAATTTCTTAATCGCTTCTTGGGTGTGGCCTAAGTTGTGGGTGTGGCTTGCTGATCATGTGACTGGCTGGGCATGACTTGTATGTAAATATAAATATGTAAATATTGAATTTTTTATTAAAAAAGAGCAACTTTTACTCAAAATTACGCAAAGCAGGCAGGCAGATTGAGTTACTCACAGAATCACAGATTCACTTAGAGATCTGTGTTTCTGCCATCGGCTATCTGAGTCTGCAACTGAATAATAGAACCTTCAGTCCTAAGGGAGATTCGGCTCTTCTTAAAAGCAGACCCAAAGATCTAAAGATTAGGTAGAAAGCAAGAAATCTGATGATTTCCTGCCTTCTAGCTAATCTAAATCTCCTGGCACAGCAGAACAGCTGATGGTCGGGAAAAAAAAAAGGAAAAATAGCAACTTAGCAGGCAAATTTGCCAGGTAAGGAGTGAGTGGGCGGGGAGGGTTCCCACGGGCCATGTGGGCGGTACAGCCTTGTGTTCCTGCACAGCCTGGATTACTACTTTGGGGGTGACATTTCTCTGCAGACCACCAAAATTTTCTTGCAGCCCACCAGTGGGCCGTAGCCCACCAGTTGGCGACCACTGTTCTAAACCACACAGCACTATGGTAGAAGCTGTATCTTATTCCCAATAGGATTTTCTTTTTTGTTTTATGAAATAAGTATACAGAAGCAACTGGCTGCTGTTATTGAAGGGTTGTTGCTTGAGCTCTTTGAGTTCTTCTGTCATTCTAAATAGGAATAAGCAGTCCATGGGCTCTAGATGATGCAGCACCATGAGACTGGGTTGCTGAATTTTGGCAAGTTGTCTTAAGCTTTCGAGGGATCCTTGTGCAATTGCAATAGCACTTAGACTTACATACCACTTCACAGTGCTTTACAGTCCTCTCTAAGTGGTTTACAGAGTCAGCATATTGCCCCCAACAATCTGCGCCCTCATTTTACCCACCTCACAAGGATGGTGGCTGAGTCAACCTTGAGCCTGGTGAGATTCGAACTGCTAAACTGCAGTCAGCTGGCAGTTAGCAGAAATAGCCTGCAGTACTGCATTCTGACCACTGCGCCACCACAGCTCATGCCCGCCTTTAATTCACCTCCAGACCCCAAAATAGGTTTAAAATGTCCGTCATTGATTCAGAGTCCTGGTCACATCAGAGTAAACCATCAAATAGCCTTCAAAAAGTTGGCAATCTATGTTGTGGCCTTACTTTCAAGTATTGCCTCCTCTTCTTCAAAAGCACCAGAATCTTCAACTGAGCTAATTAAAATGCCTTTCACAGGGAGCCTCATATTCTAGTACTCCAGTCAGGAAGCCACAAGAACATATAGTGACTAGATAATGAGCAGATCGTGAACCACGTGGAGCCAAGAAGTAAGCATTTCCTATTGAAGAAACCCATTATCCTGTAGAGATGGTGTTCTAGCTAAAGTGGATCCCATATAAAATAAGTTGAGCACCATTTCCTGAGGTGTTCATGGTTAAAAAAAAAACAAAACTACAGGTTAATGTGATTTTATGTGCGCTCCTATACATATTACTTAACATCTAGGTGAGCATCAGGAACCTAGAATATTTAAATGTAAAGATTTTAAGAAGTCATAGCCGTATGGGTTTGGAGTATTTTGTGTCTGTATTACATATTCCGTGCTTGATTCCTTCACACAAGCCAACAATAACTTTGAGAAATAAGCTAAAATATAACAGTAAAACATGTATGTTTGGTAATATCACAAATTATTTTTCTCTCCTATGTTGAGGATAAATTTCCCAGTAGGTGAATCAATGCAAATAGCTTTTTCTTCTGCCTTAGCGTGAAACGGTTGAGGGGCTGCCCATCTTCAATAAGACCCAGATTCAAGGCAATGGAGTATCTGGGGGTTACAAGTGTCTGCACACAATGAAAGAGAAAAAACACGCCTAGAGCAAATTAACAGGTCTGGAGAAAAGAGAAATAAGGCAAAAAGAACAGCAGGTTTTTTCCCCCTATTCCCTATTGCTTTGTGAAAGACATAGTGCTCTGCCCATAAATAATGCAATTTCTAAGTACCCTGAAGGTATCAAAAAGATAGGCTGTTATCTTCACACACTGACAAAATAGCCTAATGCATCTCTGAAAGAAGTTATTGGTCTTAAGTCAACAGCCTTTTTAATGGCTTGTATTTTCTGTTCGGCAGTCCGTTTCAGCCAACATACAAGTCTGCAATCCTTGGAGTTTACACACACACATGGTGACACGAGCTTGCTTTTTCTATGCAGCCTTCTGCACCCAGGACTATTGAGGCATATCATGCCATTGCCACATGAACATAACAGCTGCATTGTGATAACCTGTCTTCAGGGTTTAATATATTGGGTGAACATGTTTTTGGCAATGCGCTTAAGGACTGAGAATGACTGGTAATGATGAACAAAATGCTCAAGCACAGCAACATGGCTTTAAGGGGCAGAGAAAGATGCAGAATATTAGCTATACCTCCTGGGAAGTCGCAGAAGTCAAAATGTATTTATTTATTTATTTATTTATTTGATTTGCCAATTGTTTACAAGATAATAAGTATAAGTGTATACATAGTTGTGAATACATGAAATGGGTACATATAAGAAAAATAAAAGAAGAATAAGAGAAACAATAGGACGTACTGTCCTAGATGGGCATCTTTCCATATGAGCCTATATTAACAGTCTTCTGCAAGGGGGAGAAGTATTAAATGATGTGCATTGTGACAAACTATGTGGCTTCCATAAGCACAAAGTGGCCACAATTACTGTACTCTGTTGTCTGAAGTTTTCCCCTGTTGGTTAGTTGATTCCATGTGTTGCACAAACCAGAGAGAATGGAGTAATTCGCTACAGTATTTTAAGGCTAAATATAGGCATGCATGTCATGGGTAACAGCTTGAGGGGACTTCAGAAACAAACATGAATAAAATGTGTATTTTGTGGAGTCTAATTTGCAAACCATCCATGTAAACATCCATGAAAAGTATAATATGCCAACCATCAGAAGCCTTTTAGACATGGCAACATCTGACTGTCCCAAAGGGTGGCCTTTCTAAAACACAAGTGCGTGCAGAAGAGAGGTTTGGTTTTAAGCACCTGGCCTGGAAACACCTCAATTAAAGTGGGAGGGGGCGCACACTACCAAAGACCCCTCCAGATGATTTGGGATCCTGTCTCTCAGCCCAACCCACCAAATGCAATAGAAGCGTTTTCATGGAGATGCCTTAGAAAATAAATGCTAAAAGAAACCTTGGCTGTCCTTTGAAAGAACAGATACTGAAGCTGAAGCTCAAATACTTTAGCCACCAAATGCAAAAAAGAGAATTAACTGGAAAAGACCCTGATGTTGAAAAATATTGAAGGCAAAAGGAGAAGGGATGGGCTAGATATCCCAAAGGTGTATTTTTCAAAAGGCAACTTGATTTTGTTTTTGCTTGAAGATGTTTCTTGGATAAGAAGTGAAAGGTCTTCAAGCCAAAAACAAACGAACAAACAAAAAATACCCAAACCAAACCAAACCAAACCCAAAAAACAAAGTCCAATTGTCTTTTGAAAAAGGCATCCGTTGGGACAACCATGACCTGGATGACTGAGAATCTCCATAGATATGACTGGTTAGATAGTGTCGTCGACACAGGGGGCATGCTGTTTAGGTAGACTCAGGGAGGCTGTGGAGGATA